ATTTGCCATAATTAATAAGTTTAAATCATTAATAAAGTTGTATTTATATGATATTAATCTTCAAACAATACCATCTAACGCGTTTACTGGTCTAGATCATCTACAACAAATATCATTAGCAGGTTATAAAATTGAAACAATTGGTGAAAGGGCGTTTTATGGACTAAAATCACTAAATAAACTTACTCTAAAACACACTATCATCAATCGACTCGAAGCAAACGTATTGACATTTTCGCCAAATACACCGGAAATAATTATAACTTTAGTTTGGAACATGTTTGTAGACAACAACAATTTTGCCAACAACTCCCTTGGTAATACTGGTACAGATATTAGTTTATATCTTGAAACCTGGAATCCAAACATTGAAGAATATTATAAAATTGATGAGCATACATTCAAGCCATTTCTCATGTCACCCGGTAAACATAATTTGTATGTCCAAACTAAATTTTTTAATTGTAATGACCAAAGACTTGACTTTACATATTTTCACATATATTTATGGTAAGAGATATCAACTTCTAACTCAAAGATCTATCCGATTCATGTAATAAGCAGTATTTTGAGACCTATTTGTTATCACATAAATACATATAATTACATATTTTGTGTATTAGCACATATTTTCACATATTTTTAAACAACAGTAAAAAATTATTAGTTTTGTACTGAGTTTGCGCTGAAAATGTATAAATGAGACAATAAGTGTTCAATGCTTGCAATAAGTGATTAAATGAATTGTGTTTTCTCATTAAATTAGTTTAAAATGGGTCCAAAAGCTAAGACAAAGTTAGCAAAACTAAAAAGTTATGTCAAAGAAAACAATGGTGTTTTTAGTATTGAAACTGATATACTATCAAAAATTCCATATTTATATTGCAAAGTGTGTAATAAAAGAGTTGAATGTGATATGCGATCACAAGTTACACAACATATCGGTACTGTTGGACATAAAAATGATTTAAAAAGTTTTGATATAAATCAACCAAAAATTGATGAAATAATTGAGAAAAATCAAACTCAATTTAACAATGATTTGTGCAAAATGTTAATAGCATTGAATATACCTTTCCATCGCCTATTAAATGATGATATAAAAGTGTTCATTAAAAAATACACTAAATATACAGTTCCGGATCCATCGACTCTCTGGAAGTATCATATAAAAGACATATATGACAGTTGTAATGCGACTATTAGATCCAAACTACAAGACGAGTATATATGGCTATCTATCGATGAAACCACTGATAGATTTGGCCATAAAGTTGCTAATGTTATAGTTGGTGCTCTCAATACTAATTCACATAATTGTGATAAATTTGTGTTAAATATGGAGTTTTTAGAGAAAACAAATCATTATAATATTATTAAAAGTGTTAATAAAGCGCTATCTATTCTATGGCCGGACGGTATACAAGAGGATCGGTTTTTACTGTTATTGACCGATAGGGCCACTTATATGCAAAAAGCCGGCGATGTATTGCGTGACACATATCCTAAATTAATCCATTTAAATTGTATGGCACATGCGGTACACAATATTTGTGAATTTATCGGATCTTTATATAAAAATGTTAATCAACTCGTTTCCAATGGAAAGTCAGTAATAGTGAAATCACACGAAAGGCGACAATTATTTAAGGAATTATTTCCGGACACACCGTTACCTCCAATACCTGTTAAAACCCGATGGGGTTCTTGGATTAAATCCGTCGATTATTATGCAACACATTTCGACAAGTTTTGTGATTTTATTGGACAATTGAATCATAAAGATTCTGTTGCGATAGAAAACATACAATTATTAATAATGTGTGAAACTGAGAGTTTAACTGAACACTTGGCATACATTCACTCAAATTATTCTAATTTAGCAATTGTTTTAAAAAAATTAGAAACCAATGACTTGTTATTAATCGATAGTTTAAATTTGATTTTGGAGACAATCGATGGCCTAAATAATGGTTTAGGAAATTCTAAAAAAGTGTTGAAAAGATTTAACGAAATACTCTCCTATAATAAAGGTTTCAAATATATTAAATATATTTCTGATGTCATTAATGGAAATACAACTGATTCTCAAGAACTCAAACCTTCATTAAGTTTAACACCTCAAGAATATTCAGTATTTAAATACTCGCCCATCACTTGTGTGGATGTTGAGCGAAGTTTCTCAAGATATAGACATATTCTAAACGATCGGAGATATAATTTTTCAGAAACTAATCTGCGTAATTCAAGAAAATTATGCAGAATATAAGTTAATGAGATGCCCTTAAATGTAAAATCAATCAAAACTGTGTTCTTATTAATAATTTTAATTAATTTAATAACAACTTTATTAATGTTATTTAAAAGTAATGTTGTACTTTTGCAATTATGTTAACATTTTAATTATTAATAAAAACCATTCACATTCTTATAAGCCTTGGAGTATTACTGTACATTGATTACAATAAACTGATTATAATTTAGCTTAAACATTTTTAATAATACAAAATAATAGTATTTACCAAATAAATATTAATTACTTTTTTAAATATTAAATTTTATATAAAGATATCAATAAGTAATTTAAGTAATTACAAAAGTTTTATACTTACATTCAAGAGTATTTATATTTAAATTCCTAAGTAAAAATAACATCATATGATATGATTCATATCAAATTTAGATTATTATTAAATAATTATTTAGTGTATCATGTGGACTTAACTCACTATCATTGATTTAACACAATAGTAATCAATACAATTAATCAATATACACAATCTGTCGGCAAGCAAATTGTGATAAATGCCGGTGTGATTATAGTTTAGGGCAATAGAAATACCTGTAAATTAGTGACATTATGAATGCTTATTACGAAAGCAATATTCTTGATCATAGTTCTTATAGCATATTCTCGATTGGATGTCAACTTATTTATTTGAATGAAATACAAAACAGTTTTTGAAACAACTTTTAAATCACTTAAACAATCTAAAATAACCCATTATTACCCTAAACAATAAATTATGTGTAATTTTAAAATGATAAACGAATTTTTAATACATTTAAGGCTACCCTCTATCTTGTGAACACATCTATATTATGAACCAAAAGCCCTGCACCCGATCTATTGGACCCGAACAACACAGAGTAGATATGCAACTTATTTTCCCTGTTAGAGGGATTCCCCGGGGATTCCCTGTTCCCTGTACAGGGAAAATACAGGACGGGGAAATGAGAATCAATGAACAGGGCAGGGACAGGGAATCCCAGTAACCCTTAGAGGGAATCCCTGTAACCCTTAGAGGGAATCCCTGTAACAAAATTTCCCTGTAAATTCCCTGTAATACAGAAAGTGAGTGATAAATAAGTCAATAGTTGTGAATGAATTTTGTGTTATAAAGAGATTGTAATACAATTATATTACTATAATATATACGTATTTTAAGTCTATTTACTGAAATAATGAAATATAATGAATAAATACAAGTTTTTATAAGAAATATTCATTAAAAAAAATTTACAGGAAAATTACAGGGAATCCCCGGGGTTCCCTGTTAGCCTCTACAGGGCAGGGCAGGGATTCCCTCTAAGCAAAAATTACAGGGAACAAGAAAGTGAGTGATAAATAAGTCAATAGTTGTGAATGAATTTTGTGTTATAAAGAGATTGTAATACAATTATATTACTATAATATATATGTTGTTTAAGTCTATTTATTGAAATAATGAAATATAATGAATAAATACAAGTTTTTATAAGAAATATGCATTAAAAAAATTTACAGGGAAATTACAGGGAATCCCCGGGGTTCCCTGTTAGCCTCTACAGGGCAGGGCAGGGATTCCCTCTAAACAAAAATTACAGGGAACAGGGCAGGGCAGGGAAATGAAAATTGGAAAAAGTTGCATGTCTAACACAGAGTTCTAACTGTATATAAATTATGCCATTTATGTTAACAAAATTTTTAACACTCATTATTTTAAAATTAAGTAAACTGAACGAATGTAAAATAAATTATAAAAACATTAACATTAACACATGTGACAAGAAAAGTGCTATTATAAAGTGTAAAATTTGGCTTATGCTAATTAATAATTTTTGGCTTATGCTAATAATTAATAACATTTATGTTACATATTACGTTAAGAAATATTTAGTAATATAAATATTAATCGACATTTGTGTGATATACAGTTTGTAATTTTACTTGTAATTCATATAAAGTGTAACTCATATAAAGTGTGTTTAATCAAACACTAATTAAGTTAATATGTGTTATTATGTCAAGAATTATTTTACATCAAGATTATTTGATATAAAGTATATTTTACTTTACTTTTATACTGTATATGTAATTTTATCATGATATAAAGTACTTGATACTAAATAAAGCAGATAGATTTGAAGGTGAACTATACACACAATGTATATGCATTGCAATATTGACAGAATAAATGTCGACCGTGATAAAAAAAATTGTTTATAAAAATATTGACAATGTAAAGATGTGATCAATGTTACCGTAAAACTGAGAATATCGTTGCATTTAATTCATTCATTTTAAAACTTTTTTAAATTAGTTAAAATGTTGTGCAAAATAGTGACTCTGACAGTTAGATCAATGCAACTATATTAGGATTTCACCATAATTAATAAAAGTGATATGTAATGAATTAATATAAAGTATACAGAATTAATAAACAATTTGTTACCTTGAAGTAACATTGATTATAGTGATGTTGATTATTTTCACATCTGTCAATGAAATGTATCATGATATAAAAGTTTGTTTAGTTTAATGCAGTTAATTCAACTAATTAAATAATTTGTTATTGATATTCCACCTACAACAGTAGTTAAAACATAGTTTATATTTTAGCATATAAAAGCATTTCACGATGCTAATATGTTCATAAATTATAAATCTTGACCAACATAGTTTTGAGAATAAATAAACTTACATTATAAATTATTAATATTTCTTTAACAGTATTTAACTGTATTAATAATAACTATAATGTTTTTATTACCAGTTATTTATTGGATTTATTCAAATGCATTAATATTATTGATATCTTTATTTACATATTTTGTGTCAAAACAAATATATAATGAATATTGTATGAGAAATAAATTACCACCGGGTCCTATAGGACTACCATTTGTCGGTTATATGCCTTTTCTTAAGGGCGAGCCCTCCAGAGTGTTCGTACAATTGGCCAAAAAATACGGACCAGTTTTCGGGTTTGTTTTGAAAAATGTAATTTTATATTACAATAAAATAATGTTAATTTTCAAAATAAAAGCATTCAAATGGGTTGCTCTCCAGTAGTGGTACTCAATGACTGGCCGTCAATAAAAGAGGCACTTTCTGACGACACGGCTCTATATCGGCCTAAAAACAACTTCTTTAACTCAGCAATTCCTGCGGGTATTTGCTATTAATCTCAATCATATTATCACTGAATATATCATTTGAAAAACATATCAATTATTTAGGATTTGAAGCAATAAGTGGTGACGAATGGAAAGAACAGAAAAGATTTACTTTACATCAGTTGCGAAATCTTGGTTTCGGGAAGACATCGATGGAGGAACACATCATCGATGAAATCAATCATTTGTCACAACTCTTGGACACCAAAGAGGGGCAGGAAATTGAGTTCAGGACTCTATTCCCGATTAGTGTCTCAAATAACATCAATTCCCTTAACTTTGGCCGACGTTTCGAGTATACGGACAGCAGAAAGAAAGCGATCGATGAGTTCCTGATACTGGACCCTAATTTTAACTTTACCGGGGTATTTGCATTTTACCCCGTGGTGACTCGATTTATATATAAGTATCTGCCATTTATTATGCCATTATCTCTCCGGATTGTTCGGGATAAGGTTAAAGCAGTGACAGATATTATAAGGTATATCCATTAACTTTTATAAAGTTTTTGTAAGGTTTATAAGGTTTATAAATTAACTTTTAATTGCAATAAAATTTATGTTTTAAAAATTGTAATTCAGATCTGAATACGAAACACATGTGAAAACTATTGATAAAAACAATAATAGGGATTATTTGGACGCTTTTATTTGTGAAATGCAAAAGTTTGGAAATGACCAAGACGGTAAAACAACAACATTTAATTGTGAGTATTCGTATATTGTATATCATATGCTACAGTAAATTGTGCTAGTTAAATGATCATTTAAATAATGATTTATTTACTTTTAGATGATATGTTGGAGGGAAACAGCTTCTTGCTAATCGGTGCGGCGGGTTCTACGGTATTACAGACCCTCGAGTGGTCGCTATTGATTTTGGCCACTAATCCGCAAATACAACAACAGATCCACAAAGAGATCGATGAAGTGGTTGGCAAAGAGAGGAGTCCTAAGACTTCCGACAAAAACCAAATGCCATTTTTGCAGGCATTCATGTATGAAGTTTGGAGGTTTAGGACATTATTGCCAATTAATTTACCACGATGGTATTACTTTTTACAATCTCTCTCTCTCCCTCTCTCCCTCTCTCTCTCTCTCTCTCTCTCTCTCTCTCTCTCTCTAATTATATAATAATTTGTGATAACTTTCAGTGCGTCTAAAGATATGGTAATCTCAGGATTCA